CAAGATTGTTTTGGTGAACGCATGGGAGGACTKCTATTTTTACCAGCTCTATGTGGTGAAGTGTTTTGGTCCGCTGGAATATTGTCCGCTTTGGGTACGTATACTAATAATAATAAATTTTATTAAAAATGTAGGATTGTATAGGTGTATCGTATTTATGTGTTTTACTGATATTGTCTCATCAATCTCCWTAAAAATAATATAATGTGCAATATGATATTACACAGGGGCTACGTTAAGTGTGATCATCGAACTGGACCAGGCTACCAGCGTTATTTTGAGCTGTTGCATTGCAGTTTTCTACACCATTTTCGGAGGATTAGCTAGCGTCGCTTATACAGATGTCATTCAACTGTTTGCCATATTCATAGGACTGGTATGACACATAATTTCGATATACYAATATTTTTAATTTTCTTACTCCATCATTCTCACCTATTCTTGTTTCATTGGTCTTCGGTTTGTACAGTTATAAAATAAATAAACTGAAATATTACTCGCATATAATATTTCTAACTAATAACTATTATTATTTATTATTATTAACATAGTGGTTGAGCGTGCCGTTTGCATGGTATAACAAAAAGGTAGACTTTAACCAGCCTGGTTTGGATTTGATCGGTGAGATCCAGGGAAAGGATTTCTTAAGCTATGTAGATTACGCATTGCTGTTGGTATTCGGTGGAATTCCATGGCAGGTCTATTTCCAGCGGGTGTTATCCAGTAAATCTGCTGCACAAGCTCAGATACTCTCGTTTGTCGCTGCTTTTGGATGTTTCATCATGGCAATACCACCGGTCATTATTGGAATGGTAGCAAGGGCTACAGGTGTGTAGAAAATACACGTACATTGTATATATAATTCAGTAAACATTTAACATTTAAGTAATGTCAGTATAGACCAGGCTCAGCTCAAAGGGTTGGTGATATATAGGCCCACACTTAGGGTGGCGWTTATAAGGGGAATTGCATTTTTAAAAAGTTATTACCTATTTACTTACATTATTTTAGGGGTGGCAAAATTTGATTTTGTCTTGTGCACTATTATAATTTGAGCCGAACCTGGTATAGTTTACTRGGCAGTAAAATGTAGTGTTGATATATGTTTGTTATGCTGACGAATGATATGACTACGTAGGTTTTAATCGCTAAACTATTTATTCTCATCCGATTTAATAAAAAAGATATATGTTTTATTTTGTACAAAATATCTAATTGAAATATAATCAATACGAAGCGCAAAACCCTACTTAATTAAAATCTAAGGATTGGTTAAACTTTGATTTTAAACCAAATCAAACACTTTAAATTTCATATAGTTTAGGGGTTCAAAGAGTTCAAGAACTCATAATTTCTATTAAAAACTAAAATATCAATTAGTTCAACTAAATAATTTTATTAATTCCTGACTAAAGTTGCACTCATTTATGTTTTTAGTATATAATCGCAAATTTGAACAAACATCTTCCCATAGAATTTAATTTGTACAYATTATTGCAGCATTCGAACACCTAATCTAAAATAATGCATGATATATATAWATTTTTCTTCGTTTATTATCGTCATACAGATATGAGACATCATATAAAAAATAATGYAATTTTTTAYGTAATTTAATCGTTTTGCTTACCTATACTATAAATAAAAATAAAATATTATATATTAGTAAGACGTGCATTACATTTTTGTTCACGTAACAGATTGGAATCAGACAAAATACGATGGACCGATGCCAATGACTCAGAAGGAAACTAGCATGGTGTTGCCTATGGTTATGCAGTACTTAACTCCAGATTGGGTGGCGTTCTTCGCATTGGGTGCGATTTCTGCAGCTATAATGTCTTCGGCCGATTCCAGCGTTCTGTCAGCCAGTTCTATGTTTGCTCGAAACATCTATCGGATGTTATTACGGCAAAGCGTAAGTTTTGTATATATTTTTAATCAAAACATGTACATTTTCATAGTATAGAATTACACATTACACAATTAAATTTATATATTGCTGTGGAACTCCGTTCTACAATAATATAAMAATAATATAACGAATTACCACCCGAGCTCTGAACGTGGCTATATGAGTAATAGTCTTAGCTAGTACTAATTGCAGCAGATTTTRAATGTTTTATGAGAATAGGTATTAAAATAAAATATGTTKATATGAAAACTAAGTATTTACCTATTTTCCTATTACAATATATATTATACTATTGAGTTCGGATTAATATTTTTCTTCTGATGGATAGGTTATATAAAATATTAAAATACGTGATATGTTTGTTGTAAATATATGCTTATATTAAACAAACGCTTTTTTAAACTGTTTTAGGCATCAGAAATGGAGATTGTCTGGGTCATGCGATTATCCATTGTAGTCGTCGCCTTTTCCGCTACGACTATGGCAATTACTATCCCGTCCATTTACGGCCTGTGGTCCATGTGTTCTGACCTAGTTTACGTTATCCTATTCCCACAGTTAACTATGGTAGTTCATTTCAAACACTATTGCAACACATACGGGTCACTAGCTGCGTACATAGTGGCATTTTACATACGAATGGCCGGCGGTGAACCTCTGTTGGGCTTGCGACCAATGATACACTTCCCTGGATGGGACGGTGAAAAACAACTGTTTCCGTTCCGAACCACTGCTATGCTCTGTTCGTTGTTCACGCTGGTATTCGTCTCGTGGTTTACAAAGTGAGTAATACTATACTATATAATCAAGGTTGTATACTTTTATTATTATTGTGTCGGGCATATGTTTTACCAATATGTATGCTCATTGCTCAATATTCCATGCAAGAATTATGGTGAGTGTCCGACATGGTTGAAGTGGAGGGGAGGTAAAGGAAATTAGAAGAAATGATATAAATATTYATCAAAACATTTTTTTGAAATTGAATAACCTGTAATATAAAAATATGTATTAAAAATAATTTCAAAAAAGTGTTGAAAACCAGTTTTGCCACTAAACCATGAAAAAATATCCAAAATATCGAAAAATGTAAAATGTTGTATAATATGAATTGTTCGTACTCTAAACCATATTGATGTGTTACTTTGTCCATTCTTCCCGATTCGATCAATACAATATTCTAATATAATCAGTAATCACATTCGAATTCCATCACACGTTCGCAGGTGGTTGTTTATCAATGGTAAGCTGGCTCCACACTACGACTGGTTCCATTGCGTGGTGAACATACCGGAGGACGCGGTGCGAGTTGGAGAGCCGCACGAGGGTGAACAGATGACCACGCTCACATCAGGTAAAATTTGGAAAGGGAAAATTATTTTTACTGTCCTGAACTCGCGTTTMATTTTACGCGTCGGTCGTTTTRCAGGTCCGATGGGGGCGAAGTACGGCGCCGCCGTGACCACCGGTTTGGTCGGCAAAGACGAAAGGAACGGTAGAATCAACCCGGCACTGGACATCAATGATGACGTAGCTTCTACCACTGCCACAGCGGTTCAGAGAAAAGCTAGCGTTGTAGGAAAGGTGTACAAGCAGGGGTATGAACAGACGACCACCGGATTTTGAGTAGGTCGTATTTCGCGCGGCCCCGTTCTGATAGGATCACGAGAATTATCGTAGTAGCCCTCTATTCRCAACATATTGTAGCCAAAAACCCTTAAGTCTAATACAACACTAATATAACTATTTATTCACACTACTGGGCCGACCTCAACACGTTTGGGTACGAATAAAATTGTTTTAAAGTATGGATATCTTACGATTGAGCGCATCTGTTTATGTGTACCTACTATTCTGAGCACTGCGCTGAGCCTACATCAAATGATTATTATAGCTTCCGACACTAGTTGAATAACATAGTTGAGCACGACGCCGTTTAAAAAGTTGCAATACTTAATACTTATATGAGAAAAAAATGTATTAATAACTATCAAGTATTTAAGAACTACGACCGTTGTACCTTGTACAACATTATAACGATCTATAATAATATAAAAAACAATAAAATTGAGTTTTTTCAGAAATACGAAAAACTACTAGGCATTTACTATAAAATAAACTGATATATATATTTTAAATTCAATCATTAAAAAATATTAATAAACATAATTATAAATAGGTAATTTAAGTTAACACTTTTATTATTAAATCAAAAAATTAATGATTGATACCTATATTATATATAATATTATAATATTATTTTTATCATTTCCAAATAAATCACCACAAGAGTAGATACTGATAAACACATACATTCACAACATGATTTAAGAATGTGTTTTACAGTCATTTACAATTTACGTCTCGATCATCGTGTCAAAAAAATATAGTTTAATAATATTTTGAAATTTTAAACAATCTAGCGTGCTCAATAAAAGAACATAAAAGGTATCTGAAAAATAAAAAGTGCTCAATCGTATAATTTTACCAATGAATACAATATGTACCTATATAACGCTTTGGTACACCGTTCSCCTWKGCGTTAGGGTAAATCAGGGCTGATATAACATATTATAGATTTAAATTTTTATTTGTTAAATTATCGCGTATCATATATTTTTATTTCAACATTTGTTTTGATAATATGAGATGGTCAATAATTTCCGTTTGAAGTTGGTACCACTATCATTAGGAGGCATCGYGAACATGTTGGCTCTGTATCGTCTCGCAAATATTTTGTTTATATAATATAATGTTTATTCACTCGTCATAGATTTAGAGTTAACATTTAAACTTGATTTTTTAAAATTAAATATTATATTGATTGCAATCAACATGGGTTGCAAATGTATTGCATTAATGTGTAAACAAATATGTGTTGTGTTCAAGTACTTAATCATGTTGAAAATTGGTCGTTAAAAATTTGTATCCAAACGTGTTGTAACCCATACTATTATATTATAATTGAGTCCGATCATGTGGTCCCAGATTACTATTTATCCCTACGTGGTTATTTTCTTAGAAAAATTTCGTGGGCACTACAACACTTGCGTTTCTCACGTTCCGTGTTGTTTGACTGTTATTTAAAAATTTAGAATTAGAAATGAAATTGTATCAGTATTAGAAAACACTGTACCTGTCACACGTTTGAGATCTATAAGGTCTATATATTTTCAGTGTTGATTCTTCCAAAAAATTAATTAAAATAATACCTAATAATAAATGATAATAATTTAACTAATTATAAAGAATAGAATAAACGCAATAATGTATAGATTTATTAAATAAACCGCCAATTTATAATGGTCTGTAGTTGGATATAAATTAATTGGCATTTAAATTTAACAAGATAAATTTATATTACACTATAATATTAACGGTTTTTTTAGTACTAGTATTTTAGAAATTCRAACATGTTAATTAATTAATTGATTAAAGTTGTTAATGTGATTGTTGAGCTTTTTTAAAAACGTTTAAATTTAATCAGAGATTTTATGTGCTTTTATGTCTATTTAAAGCATAAAACTTAAAATTCCACTATTATTGTTATTATCGGGAATTTGTTAAAGGACTTGTACAATGATACATATCATTTTATCTTACTGTTAAGATTGACAATTACATATCATTATATGTATTCAATACACGACTGACCTATAGGAAAATAGTAAAAAAATAAATACATTTTAGAATTATTACATCTTTTATAATAATATTTTACTTGGTGATATTCGGTCGGTTTAAATGTTCATCAAAACATTATATAATTAAAWAATTTTACTGTTGTTTGACTTTAAAATGTTGAATTAAGCCAAATTAGATGAACTAGTTCATAGTTGGAAGCGACCGATTCCTCAAATCGAGAATTTACATTACAATTTTAAGTACATAAACATAAAACATATCAGCACACAGCGGAACATTTTGTTATACGGCAGTTTCGAAATACTTTAAGTCCCGATTTGTATTTTTTATTTAGTGAAAAATATACAAAATATTTATGCATATTTAAATATTATATTATTATAAATGTATATTCTTAAACAGACGATTTAGCGTACTATTTACAAGCAAAAAAAAAGTTGTTATATAATATTATAATTATAATAGAATGAAATACTTAAGTAAAATGTATTTACAATGAAATTGTCTAATCAATATGTAGTTATAAGTAGTATAATAAAATTTGTCATGTTAAAGTTGATGTTCTTACTGTAATTCGTTGATTAAAAAATGTGGAACATCACAAACTACTTAATTTCATTAAATGCTATAAATATGTAACATTTTTTTATGGCTGATAAAAATTATTCCTTTAAACAGTCTAGTGACATTGGTAGACTAGATGGTGAACTCCATCCATGTACGAACTTAACCATTCGTGGTACCAGTCAGAAATTACTCAGCCGTACACAGGTTGCGGCTGTGATTCGGACTGTGGAGCTGCGAACTCATCAAATCGTATTATTTGCTTCGGTTGTTGTGTTTGCGATCCGTAGCCCGCTGATTGGGTCTGTGTACTAGACTGGCCAGGTTTTGGTGTTAAATAACTACTGGAAGGCTGTGACGGTGATAATGATCCGTTCGGTTGTGCGTTAGGCTTCGATGACTGGTAGTTTAAGTTCCTTACGTTTGGAGTAACTATCGAAGGTGAGATTGCAGACGCGCTGTAAGTTTGTGTTGGCGAAGACGTCGTGAACGTTGGCAAAGGCGATTGCGTCGGCCCACTATATGGAAATTGTGACTGGGAATTGGTTTGTGGGGCCGGCGTTGTGAACGGTATTGATGGGGGGTTATAGTTGTATCCTCCTGTCCCTGCTGCGGTCTGCTGTGGTTTAAATTGTACCTGAGTAATCTGAACTTGAGCTGGACTGTAACTATATCCAAGCTGAGATGGCGGTGGTCTTGGTGTACTCGTTGCAGGAACACCAGTATAAATATAACTGCCCTGAGGTCGTGGTTGGGCTTGCGGCTTTGGAGGACTATAATTGTTTGATGGAGGAGAAGTTTGAGGCTGCTGTGGTATCCCATATGATGATTGAGGTGGCGATGATGAGGGAGGTCTCGCATTATTTTGTTGTGTAACTGGTTGTGGTGGATTGTATGAATAACCAACCTGTTGTGGTATATTCTGAGGTTGCGTTTGAGATGTAGTGTAGGTAAAACTGGGCTGCTTGGATTGTTGTGGCTGTTGATTTGGTCTTGGAGTTGGTTGGTTGTAAGAATAACCTTGAAATTGATTATTTTGTTGCTGAACTGCGGGAGGGCTATAGGAATACCCATTTTGATTCTGTGACATCCCCAATAGTTGATTTGGTGTGTTAAACGATTGTGATGGTATTCCAAAACTGATTGACTGTACTACAGTCGGCTGATTAGATTGAAAAGTACTTGCACTGAATGGTTTTGGACTTCCGTAATTTTCTTGAGGAGCTATAGTACTTTGTACTGGTGCACCATATGATGTTGAAGATTGAGTAGACTGTGCTTGTTGAGGTGATCCATAGTTTTGATGTGGTTGAGGCAATGGTTGTTGCTGCTGTGGATGGTTACAGTTTGATGTGAGTTGTGCTGTTGGTTGTTGCTGTTGGATTGGTGGTCCATAACTTGGTTGTGGTAAAGGTTGTTGTGATGTTGGAGGTCCATAACTTGGCTGAGGTTGTGGCAAGGGTTGTTGTTGCTGAGGGGGGCTATAACTTGGTTGTGGCAAAGGTTGTTGTTGTTGAGCAGGTGGTCCATAATTTGGCCGGGGCTGTGGAAATGGTTGTGGCTGTTGTTGTGGTGGACCATAATTCGTTTGTGGTTGCTGCTGTTGAAGTGATGGTCTATAACTTGGCTGTGGCAATGGTTGGGGTTGTTGTGGTGGTGAACCATAGTTTGTTTGTGGCGGTTGCTGCAATGAAGGACTATAACTTGGCCTTGGTTGTGGTAATGGCTGCTGTGGTTGTTGTGGTGATCCATAACTCGGCTGAGGCTGAGGCAATGGTTGTTGTTGTGTTGGTGGCGGAGGTCCATAATTTGGCTGAGGTTGTTGCGATGGTTGTTGTTGTAGAGGGGGTCCATAATTCGATTGTGGCTGGGGTTGTGACATTGGTTGTTGTTGTGGAGGAGGTCCATAATTTGATTGTGGCTGGGGTTGTGACATTGGTTGTTGTTGTAGAGGAGGGTTATAACTTGGCTGAAATTGTGGTGTGTTGTGACTTTGCTGTGGTCGTTGTTGAGGTTGCTGTTGTTGTGGTGGTCCATAACTAGGCTGGGGCTGTGGTTGCTGTTGTTGTGGTGGAGGTCCATAACTTGTCTGTGGTTGTGGTTGCTGTTGTTGTGGCGGAGGTCCATAACTTGGCTGTGGTTGTGGTTGCTGTTGTTGTGGTGGAGGTCCATAACTTGGCTGTGGTGGAGATCCATAACTTGGCTGTGATTGTGGTTGCTGTTGTTGTGGTGGAGNTTGTGGTTGCTGTTGTTGTGGTGGAGGTCCATAACTTGGCTGTGGTGGAGATCCATAACTTGGCTGTGATTGTGGTTGCTGTTGTTGTGGTGGAGGTCCATAACTTGGCTGTGGTTGTGGTTGCTGTTGTTGTGGTGGGGGTCCATAACTTGGCTGTGGTTGTGATTGCTGTTGTTGTGGTGGAGGTCCATAACTTGGCTGAGCTTGTGGTATTGGTTGTTGTGATTGTGTTGGTGTTCCATAGCTTGGTTGGGGTTGTGTTGGTGTTCCATAGCTTGGTTGGGGTTGTGTTGAAAGTTGCTGTTGTTGTGTTGGTGTTCCATAGCTTGGTTGGGGTTGTGTTGAAAGTTGCTGTTGTTGTGTTGGTGTTCCATAGCTTGGCTGTGGTTGTGTTGATGGTTGCTGTTGTTGTGGTGGTAAATAACCTTGTTGAGGTCGTTGTTGTGACTGTTGTTGTGTTTGTGGTTGCGGTTGTTGTGGAGCGCTGTAGCCTTGTATTATCCTTTGTATTTGAGCACTATAGCTTTGCTGTGGTTGAGGTTGTAATGAGGTATATTGTTGTTGATTATTATAATCTTGCAGAGATTTTTGTGGAGGCTGTCCAAAGTTCTGTAATAATTGCAACTGTGCTTGGGAAGAATCACCCTGAATKTCTTGTGTGTTAACATTTTCTAAATCAAAAGATTGTCCATTTCCAGATGTACTAGATGGAGTATATATTGATGATATGCTAACCGTTGGTTGACTTTGAAAGGGAGTTTGAAGTAGTTGTGTATACGATGATGCTGAAAAAAATGTAAATCATTCCTAATTAGTTTTATATTATTTAAATACAACATTCTTTAATTTAAAAAATCAGTGATCCAAATTCTTATAAATAAGGAATGACTGGATTCATATGTCAATTTAGAAGGATTTGGTCTATTGAAATAACTGATATAAAATTGGTTTTAAATATTATAGCGACACTACATTAAAAAAAAAGTGTTGAAAAATATCGCATAGTAGATTGGTATTGACATAACAAATTGTACGTCTTTGAAGAGAAAAAAAGATTACACCTCTACCTAGGTAATAATTTTGAGAATGAATTTTAAAATGACAGCAATAAAGGTAATATGATACCAACTCGGCAAGTCATATATATATATATAAGAGTATTACAAGAATTTATAAGATCTCTTAACATTTAACAACTGGATGTAAGTATTTCATTGTTAAGTATATTACAAGATATAGGGAGGACAACATATCACAAAAATCACATTACGAAGTTTGATCTATGAAGAGCCATAGAAATATAAACTTTTATTAGTATTTATATGGATATATACAATAAACACAAACTAACTTCTCTTAGTTTAGAGATTTTTTTAGTAGGTAATCGTAAAAATTGCATATTACTACTTACTTTGCTATAAACTTTTATATTTGTTTTCATTTTTTATTTAATATTTTGGTTTTAAATAAAGGTAAATTAGAAGTAATTTACAATTTTAGAAATTTCATTCCTTATTTATTTATTATATTATTTATTTTAATTGCCATTATATTATTTAAACATTTATAGGAATATTATATATTTATATACATACATAAACACAATTTTTCTTGTTTCGTATTAAAATATCCAGCTTAGTGAAAAAAGATAATAGTGATTGCAAACTTTAATTTATTATTTTAAAATGATTATATAAGTTATAAAATTTATAACACTTTTTATCATTATTTTTTTTTTTAATATCGAAATAATAGTTTTGCATTTATGTCATATGATATTAAATTAAACATTGATATGCCTATTTAAATTTAAATTATTAACATGATTATTGGTGTTTATATTTTAAATTATACCGAGTATTAATATATTTTGGAAAGGGACATTTTAGTATTAATGAAGCATTGATTTAAACATAAATAGGTGCATAAAAAGTAGTTAAACGATTTACTATAATTAACAATATAATATGATTGCTATCTAGATTTTATGGATAATGAACACGAATGAATTATTATACTATGTAATTAACCGTAAGTGTTACGTACAAATTTAAGTTAAGCATAATAATTATTGCATATTTTTGATATTAATTTGAGCTCGATTGTTCGAATATATCTAATTTAAAAATTACACCTTTACGTTAATACGTAAGTTATGAAACTCAAAGAAAACAGAAAAAAATAATATACATAAATTATTATACGTTCATTTTATGCAGGTCGTCTCACGGTGTTTGCACTTTTGTTTTCCTTGTTAGAATACCGTGAAGTTACCATAATCCCCTTCTCCACTGCCAAAAAATATACTCGAATTATTCCAAAGATAGTGGAACATAACTAGAAAATTAATAATCACTTGCAAGCATAGTGTTGTTCTCACGTGACGACATTAATTATTCAGAGAATATGTAGAGACAGTTATACGTATACTCGCAGTATATATTATTATTATATTTTCAGTTGTATACAATTTATATAGGTATATGATATGTTTGTGATATTGATTTTTATTTTAACACTAGACCTGCGTGTTTTTCACTGCAAATAATATATTACGCGTTTCTTTATGAAATTGCGATTGAATAAAACCATATAATACGCATTATAACTTATAATAAATATCTATAGGTATCCATACGTGTAAACCTAATATATTATAAATATTTTATTACTTGAACGCGCTCTGAGGCATATGGAGACGCCTATAATTCACGTGTGAGAAAAATCATATCCTTAATAMATATAATATTTATACTCATGCACGATGAACATAATATTATTATAATGTATACATAACAGGAGAAACATTAATGCAGCDGAAACTGGCGATGAATAAGTAGCAGTGAAGAAGATGAAAGAAAAATATTATAAAAGATAGATATGAAAATGAATAGTAGGTATATAATAGTACGTTTTTCGAGTAGTAAGTGGGAACATTGACTTGCACATTATGACAGAATAAAATATAGACGTATTTATTATTATATACTACATCTTTTAAAATTTTAAACCATTTATTTGGGTTTTTTATATTTATACAAATGTTAGTTAAATAAAATTTCTCTATAGATTAATATTTATTTGAACGTTTCAAAAAACCTTTAAATAATACAAATTACATGTATATAGGTTACGTATACATGTATATAATTTATGAATTTTCAAGTGTATCATTCACGATACATAATGCTTTAATGACTTATATAACCATATATTTATATATATCATGAGATAACAATTATTATTAACCAAGAAGGGCAAATTTGCCATGGGTGATACACTAATAAATAGTTTTATTTTGTACGGTATTTGTAATAACTAGTATAATAATATTATACGTCTATTTTGCTGCAAATTATTTATTATAATAAATTTACAAAATGTTTTTAAAAAATGTCGTTTTCAGCAGGGGATAATAGATTATAAATTTCGTGACCATAAAATATACAGATACGCATATTTTTCTTCAAAAAAGTCAGATTTTAGATTTAATTTGTGCAGTTTAGGGATATTATAGTTATAACTTATAAAGTTTTAATTTAAATTGTAAATTGTAATTATCAAAAATGTATTATTATTTTTAAATCGGTATTTTTTTCGTAATTAATTTGCATTATTTTGTATTTWTCTTTAATGTAAAATAAATTCTCAATACTTACCAATGCAAAAATATTATGTTGTTGTCATCACAAAATCACAATAATAGGTTTTTTAAATAAGATTTATAACAAAAATATTTGTTACATTAATTGTAATTTGTATTACAATATGTTTATTGTGCATTAGTTATTACTTATTATCTACAACACAATATTGTTGTTATAAACTCTTTTTGAAAAAAAAATATTTAGTAAGATCTCTTATAAAAATTATCATTACTAGCTATAGTAAACAAATTGAACTATGTATAAGGCAGACATCAATAAAACTTTGCATGTTGAAAAAATTCAAATGGTTTAGTTGTAATTTCAAAATAAATTTAATAAAACAAGTTGATAAATTATTAATAAACTGACAAAATATTAAAGAATTATTTGTATTCGTTCTTCGACAATCTAAATTATAATTTTTATTTTATAATTTTTATTTTCGATCCGAATAAATTGTTAGTACCTACATGGTCGGCTCGAAATACAAATTGCAGTTTGTTTCATCGTTATAATAATRATATGTATACTGTGATCAAATTATTTGGCTTTGCGTGGTAATCGATTGGCTCTGCGGAAAGTTGAATAATATATCGTAGGTATGATAATTTTACCCTACTCAGGAATAGCTAGTGAGGATAGGTACTGGAATGATGCCACTATATCGCCTGCTATAGCCATAATAATAATATTACGCCGRCAATTTATCGTGTTCCTACTCTCTACTGAAAAAATGTGTACCTACGGGTATTGTAATATATTATAATTTACGTTATTATAATCGGTGATAATATTTGCCTTCTACCGCATCGGATGTTACACATTATGTTATAATAAGTCGTATTATAAATAGTACCTATCTCGGGCAACGGACCGTGACGCGCCGATTTGCAGCGTGTGACCCGCACAGACGTGCCAGACGACGTGTCACTTGGCGGGTATCGCGCGCGCGGCGGCGGAAACGCGACGGTCAGTTTCCGGTAATTGAATTTTTCGGCGGCGGTGGCTGCGTCTTTCCGGTACMCGGTGCCCGATGCACATTGTTATTGTTTCGTAAGACCAATTATTATTATTCTTACTAACTGGCGGGTCGGCTTCGTGTCACCGTCACCGCCGCTTCTCATTCCGTGCATTATTGTCGTGTTCAGCCAGTTCGCACACTAAACAAATGTAGGAAGTGAAGCGGTGACCACTCCGTAGCGATCGGTCCCGTGTCAAATCGTACCGTTCTCACACCGCATAATGTCCCTTGCACTGTTGTAGGAATACGCATTTAGAGGTATCATATAGGTATAGATGATGTGTATATGGATACTAGATAGGTATAGTATAATAATATAATATTATGTATATCTTACGTGGGGAAATGCACACGCCACCTTGGCTGTTGTCGTGACGTCTATTGTGCATTAAATATGGGTAATAAATGGGTTACTACGCATGTACACAATACGCATTATTGTCACGATGTCATTTGTCCGCGAACGCGAAGATTACATAGGTATTATTATTATTATTATCGCTAGGTATTATCATTTATCAGGTGTTATTATGTTATGACGTATCTTCACGTCTCATGCATTGCACCGCAGTACGTATCCAGAATTGGAAAGTCTGTGCACGCTCGTCTTATAGGTGTAATGCGATTGGCAAATTAATGGCTTTTYAGTACGACAGACCAATATGATTCAGAAAACCTGTTGACCACCGTTTCAAACATCAAAAACCGTTTCAAAATCCAGTAAGTTTGTAATTAATGTCTTTACAATTTTTCAGTATTTCAATTTTATAAACAAATGTCAATAGGATCAATCGGCCAATGTTTATTTTGAACACCAATAAAATGAGCTATTATATGACGTTACCACTGTTTTATAGCTTTTAAATAAGTGTTTAAGTAATTAGGCGAATGTGCTTGAATCACAATAAATCTGTACAAAATATAAATGTAATTAATAATCACGCAGGAACACTTTCTATCGCAAGTACACACATTTTAATAAATATCGCCTTAAACCGATTTTATTTTCCCAAATTCAAACCATTGTAGGGTTTTTACAAACATCTAAATTAATTAAATAATATTAAATACACGAACTTATTCAGTCAATACGAATTGACGAGTTGTGGTTTTAATTTTTATTCAACCATGCGACAAAATAAAATTGAAAGAAAAATTAATTTTTGATGGTCGAAATGGCAAAGATAACTTTTTTTAGTTAAAATAATAACTGAAAATTAAACACATATTGTATCTAAACTCTAAAGTTTTATCAAAAATCGACTAAAATTRTAAAATTTTCAACCCACTGTAACTTTCCAATACTGCAGAGACATGTATTAGTAACACATCGGGATATGCGAGTTATATATTATTATTATTATTATTATACATTCTCTATTTCCTTTAAAACGAGAAAATACATTTTGTCATCAATCACGTATTAAAGTGGTAATATATATATAGGTTTATGGAGAAAATAATTGGAGATGATTTGTATTTTTTTCATCGAATGTTTGTTATAATATCCATTGTTGATGCTAATATTTTATAATAATGTTAACAATTTATTTCCGTAGTATAAACGTGAGCTTTCGGTTATTGTTTTAACACAATCTGATTTACGAGCTATTTTGTGTCAATCACAATTCACAACAATGATTATTTTTGCTATTAATCGACATTTGAAATCTTTTATAAATATGCATATTACGATAGTTATAAATTATAGTATGATTCAGACTACATGTTTTGTTGGTATAGAATACGCCACTGATGCAGGTCACGTTGAATATAAATGCAAAATTATAATATTCAGAATTCAGATACACATTTTTTAAACGATCATAGTTACCAATATTAAACATCAATGGTATGTATATAAATATTAATTAAATTTCATTCATTGTCTATTCTATTAAACCAAATTGCCCAGTTAAAATTTTTGAAGTGTAGGTATATAAAAAAATAAAATCCATCATATATTAATAATTTCTATTATATATAAACTAAGAAATAAAATTTGGAACTGTAAATGTAAAAGTAATTATTAATAAAATTTTAGACTTTTTTTATAATGAGTTATTTAATATAAAACTTAAATGAATCATTTATACTTTTATCTAAATTATTTATGTATCTAATTAATTATTTATAATATATTCTACCTTACTGTACTTATACCATATTTGTAATACTATGTAAAATTGCCGTTTCGGCGTTTAATAAACAAAAAATAAATAAATGTAAAGTCTTATTCAGTTGGTTTTTTTTTTAGAGAGATGAGAAATTCTATTGTTAGGCAGTTTCTAAAACGGTTTTATTATGTAGCACTCACCATCACGTTTGTTCGGTAAAACAGCTAAAGCCAAGTTCAAGAAGACTGCACATGCTGTTGCCAACAAATACGCCCTCATCTAGAAAAAAAAAAATTGATTTAGCAGAAATTAATATGACCAGCTTCCTAAATCTATAGGTACCTACTTAAATAATTCGGTATACATTCATATTATTATTTAGTCATTTTTAAAATAGATTTTATAATATTTAGTAGGCACCCATTTAAAGAATGCTTCCACACCTCTTTGTATTATAATGTAAACTTATAATTTAATATATTTTTCGATTGTTTATCTTAACAGCATGTTAATGCGAGTATTAAATATTATCCTTATACATTTTGATGATGAACAGAATAATTTATTAAAAAGTGTTGTTCATTTAATTTTCGTAYAATAATAATCATACTTCATATTAATTTCAATCAATGTGCAATCTCACAAGAAAGGCTGATATTCGATTAAATGTGAACGTGAGTTACTGACAGTAAAAGCGCTTATATTTCACCTCCTGTTTGATTATATAAAACTTGGATTTAAAAAAAAAAAAAAACCTAAAACGGTACTGATTCAAATTATTTATTGGACCGTATACAGAAATTATGATATAATCCATAGATTATACGTTTTCGAACGGTGGTGTCCTGCTGTGGCGCAGTAAGCCACAAGAATCATACTAAAAATATTTAGTAATACAATCATGTTGTCAAATATTTGATTTAAGTATTCATTTCTAGTTATATCAAAATGTTTTTGGGAGATATTATATATATTTTTTCCTTGGCTTAGTTTCACTGATAAAATTACAGTGCTTACTATACAAAAACACAGAGTAATAATAGTAATAAATAAAGAAAATAATAGATAATTATGTATGAGCTGATTATATTTTTTATTATGTATTATGTCTATAAAAGACGTAAGTGTACTTCAAAATAACGTAAGTCCATTGAAGTAAAAATTAAAAATTAGTTAGTTAATCTTATACTTTAATTTGATTTTATAAGCTATTAACTTATAACTAATCAAATTTGAATTAATTTAATATAAATGTAAATAAATCACTTTATATCATACATGTAGTCATGTAGATAGCATAAGAGTGTTAGAGTAATTTTTTATTTATTAAATTAAATACGAGTATATTTAAAATAATTAATTATTTTGTTATGAATACGTCATAATGGATTTTCACCTTTCTCTTTTTCCCAATTTTTAAAATAAATTACTGATGACTATGTGTACATTAGGTACATCGATAAATACGTTTTTTCCAATTTGAATTGTAATCATATTTCAGTGTAGTAGTATATTAAATATAATGATTAATTAATTAAAAATGCTTAAATATCTAATTCTCTGCAGGCATTCACCTATATTTCAATAGAGTAGATTTACAATAATTTGAAAAGCATTTTTCATTCGTAATTTAAAACACAAAATAATAAGTAAATTGATGAGAATTTTAATACCACTTGAATATGAGTAAAATATTTTTAGCTTTAAATTAACAATAATTCATACTTTAAACATTCCTTGTAAATGTCTTATAAATTTATAATTCATATCATATATATATATATATAATATATATATATATTATTCTTAAAAAAAATCAATAGAAAATTAATTTTAAGTTAGTCAGTTATGTTGGTATAGAATATACATTAATGGCAGGKTTAATAATGTAAGACTCAACTAAGTACTTGTATACTTACTGTAAATGTCTTAATCCAAATTAGTGTTAAAAATCCTTAGGTTATCCTTGGTTCACATTAAATGTATTTCAACTTTGTTGACGCAAAAACGAAACGAAAATCAAAACAAACATTAAAATACAAAATAACGGTACGTATTGTACCTTTTTTATTTTATTTTTATCGTTACGACACTGGACAAACGGTGAGCGCGACGTAAGCAAAAATGAAAATGAATGAATAAACAATCAAACGATTTTGGACGGCAGAGAGAATCCGGCGATTCCCGATCCCGACATGGTGACTACAAATTAATATTGGATGGGTGACGGTAGGCAATTCGTATTTTATATGAAGATTTTTCGAGGGACGAGAGGGAGAAGAAAGTGATTATGGTAGTGGAGGCTGTAGTGGTGATGGTGGTGGAGGTGGTTGCGACCTTGTCGATGAAAACTCAGACTATAATATAGTTACCGAGTTACGTGATACAGCTTAAGATTATATTGTATATATATATTGCTGAAGGAATTTAGGCACCTGCTATAATTCAATTCCGGTCTGCCATCAATACGTAATGCATTATGTTTTCACACAATTACTTGCAACACCTTTTGACCTCTAAGAGTTGGTTAGGGCTGGGCCGTAGGGCTACTCGGAGGTATAGTCATCTGGTTACAAGACACTATGGAAAAAATAAAAAAATATACCTACACAGTGACATGTTTAAATTTTTTCTCATTGTTTGTTTTAATTCATTACAATGTATTAGAATACAAATTGGTAGTTAACATATTTTTTTTATAMTACCTACTTTTTTAAATTTCCATTGCAATATAGCAGTTGTATCTGATACCATTGATTTTATAATATGATTAAAATCAATGCTACCTTAAGCTATTTATTACTAATTGTATAGACTATATTATAGTTCTTATCCCACGGTCATCAGTAAACGTTTAGCCGCAACTGACATTGATTTTTACCACCTACCATCCAGGACGTATTTTTTAATCCTTACTTGAGATAATTTCAATATAATATCATTATTCATAATATTATAATTTAGCTAAAGTTTTAAATATATATCTGTTCCTGTTGTTAAACTATGAATTTGATAATTATTATTCATTTTACTGTATATATTGGGGTTTCCCAAGTTGTTCAGGATAAATGATTTGGTTCTAAAAATTMTTTCATTTATAAAAATAACTTTTTTGTCAACGACCAGCGATGGTTTACAAATTTAAGTCTTGTGCGAACGTAGTGACAATGTAATTTAACCCAACAAAATGGACTATATACACCAGGGGTCGGGAACCTGCGGCTCTTTGGATAATTATCAATATATCGATATCCGTAAAATATAAATTATATTATACTAAATAATATTATATTTGTATAAACAATAATAATAATAATATAAATATAAATAATAATGAATTAATGAAATAAAGTTTTCCATATTTTCTAAATTTAAGACGTATTATTATGTTTTTATTGCCTACTAAAAAAAGGTTGTTCAAACCTGCAGTGTGGCTCCTGGATAYCATAGTTTTGTATTTTTTTGAAAAAATGGCTCTTTCCTACGAAAAGGTTCCCGACCCCTGATATACACTGTTCATATTTTATGGCATACTGTAACAAACGCATAATATATTCAGCATATTGTATTCACGTAATATATATTGCAAAAAACGGACTTTAAATTAAAATTATAAATAAAATAAATCTCCTTGTATATAGGGATATCAGACTAAATTTACTTCTATTATTGAGGTTAAAACCGGTTAGGTGTAGAGTGATAAGTCCCGTTTACCTACGTTATATAGGTAGTGTACATTTAGTTCCTCCAAAAATGTATCTTTTAAGTTGCACTTTATTAGTTTTTAATTTTCTTATTTAATTTTATTTATTTGATGAAACATTATATTTACAATCTGTATTCACAGTAATACAATAATTAAATGTGATCACTTTTACAATAATTTAATAATCATGAGTACCGATGGTATACAACTATGTAATAGTGGTGCAAATTCAATGCTTTTAGGATTTGTATGTTATACACGTACCTGTATAGTATATCAGGTATAAGCACTTTAAACAGTACAATATAATATTATAGTTGCATAGTTGCCGGGTTTATGATCAAAAATAATATAAATAATAATAATATCAAATTAATATTGGTTAATGATGCATTGGAACTATTGCCAATTTCTAATAATTGGATATGAAAATAATACGATATATTTTAAAATTAGTATGATTTACAGTACATGACATAATCCCAAATACTGCAGTGCTTAATATTTGTATTAAAATATCTATAAGATATTATCGTTTCTAGTCGATCGATTTCATGCTATGCTAATTGCTACCAATAATTACCATATCTATAATCCTAGTTTCATTATATGATTATAATTACGACTATACCTACCTAATAATATCAACCGTAAAGTGCTGATACAATAATGATAAATTTTCTGCTTCTGTCTGTATACTTCATTCTATATAGGAAAATGCTAGATGGTTGGTACAGCTAAGATTTCATTTTTAACAAGAAGACTATTTTTTTTAAAGAGAGCGAGAGAAAACATCAAAGAACTTTACATTTTTATCGGAAATCGGTAATAATATTAACAAACGAATACCCGGTAAAAGCTATCCAAATGAAAATGAAAAAAACATCCTTGAAATTAATATCAACAGACAAAGTATTAAACAATGAAATTAAATATTCAAACACTTTTCTTAAGTGAAAATAAAAGTAAAATACAGGTAAATCGTGTTTAGAGTCATTGATTTAAGCTATATTATCTTTGTATTTTTATCGTGAATATTATTCTATCTCAAATGACTCCAAAAATTATACTTGCTAAATTTTAAATTTTAAATTATTTATCTTTGCTTAGTATAGGTACCTACTTTCAAAACTAAAGAGAGACATGTGTTGTTCGGTGGGCGCCTCTCTACTTCACATTAATTATGCATGCATGGTTATGATGATCTTTCCTTCTTTGTAATATTTTTATTAATCAATCAAATAATGTATTCAATTACTTGTCACATGAATTGTGGATAATTGTCTTTATTGTGTGCACCTATAAACATGGCTGATATATATATATTCATAAAACCATAATTTGTATAGGTATTCGAAATTCTACGCAAACAAACATTATAGCATTTGATGTTTTCTATTGAGTCATAAACGACATAATGTGGTGTATAGTGATCGCATAAAAAATAGCCATCTTATGAAAAACGAAATGCTACGTTATAGTGTTATACCTATATAATAATAATATKATATATAGTGGCAATATTTTTAGTTGTCTCAAGTACCTATACTCTATAGTATGCCTGCGTATAGCTTAGGTAATGAGTTTTTATTTATTTTTTTTAAAAAAGTATTTCCGTCTGTTCTCACTGCTTTGCCCACACGCCGATAAAATAAGTGAAAAGATTTAGAGCATTCACTGCATGCCGTACAACACTCATTCTGCGCATTTAATTTTCAATTTTTGGACGCGAACCGTTATTCGCGGAGTGTGCATTATCTCCTTAGTCTGTTCTGTTCCTACAAATGGAAGACAAATAAATTAAACTATTAGTGGACGGCACGATTGCGCAACATTCTGTTCACAACCACTGTATGAGAGATATCGCTTGACCATCAAATTACCCATTGACTTGGTGTGTTATATCAAACCATAAACCATATATAATAACATTAAAATATATACGCATACGCTGCACTGAATTTGCTGCGATGAAATATTCATTTTTAATTTCTCATCGTTTGAATAGTTACCTACAGCTTCCGCCGTGGAGATTTTGTTGACTTCTCCGCTATCAATGCCATTTCCGTCTTATACATTTTTTATTATGGGATTTGATATTATTTTGTTCGCACAGACGAACAGACGATGAACATAATTTAACGACACCGACGGCGACGGCTATAGCTTACACGCTACTGGACACATCACCTACTATACAGTACTCGTACATGTTTTGCAGTTTTGCTTCTAGCGAACAACGTTTAAAATGTAAGCAGAACATAAAGGCGTATCGAGGAATTGGTGAATCTCGGTCACCTATATAAGGCCAAACTATTATACCTTAATAATAAGCAGTTAAAATRCTTATAAACTTTAGTAAATGCATTTTACTGATGACTCGTAAGCTTGTGGTGCAATTAGAAAATAACTTATTTTTATTTTAACAACCATATCATCTAGATTGTATATACGTTATAAGCATTTTTAAGAAAAAATTAAATAAACAGTATAATTTTAGTGATATGGAGTAATAATCATCATTCTTAAAATGTAATAAATATGAAATAGAAAAAAGTTGTTATGTCATGAAAAGTGGATTTTAAGAATATAAATGTACATTGTACAATGTATTGTATAGTTTTTCCGAATTATTTCACTGTGATGATTACATTATGTTAATTTCTAATTAAATCAAATCACTTTGAAGAACACAATAACACGTCGAGGATAACATTTTTTGTTACTAGGCATAATTAGAATTWTTCTGGAAACATGCCACTTATCACAATTTTTATAAATATCAATATTAAATTTCTAGATATTAGATTGATATTCATATTTAAATATGTATGTTTGAGATTCATAATCTCTACAACATGTAATGTGTAATGACGTTTAACTTAGTCGTAAATAAGTTCATATCTTAAATTATGATGATAAATAATGAACCACTACTAGAAAAAAAGAGTTTTAATTGCGAAACTAGAATTGAAGGTTTCGATAATTATATTATAAACAAAAATATACAAGTAAACTGAGTATAACTTTTTGTAGCATTTACGATTGTTTATTGGAAAACTATTTGGTACATAAAACAACTGAAAATCGTTATAAAAAATTGCCCTTCTAAGTATAATAAGTACCTATTCCATATCCAATTAATTTTATTGTTGCATAAAATTATTTTGAGTTGAGTTTTTTAACTCGGGGTTAACAGACCCAAATAGTTTTAATAAAAAGTAAAAACCATTGTAAACCCAACTTCGATCGCTTAGTGATAAAATTGAAAGGGGGGGGGGGTAAGTCAATTTCTAACTCACATTGCACATTGTTACCGTAATACTAAACAACTAGACATTAATTTTATACAAGGGGATGCTTAAGCTCCAGGTTTTTTGTGACTCAATGAGATACCAAACATCATTATTTGCCTATATGTTCGCCTATATTAACTACAAAAAAAAAAACAAAAACCATAATTTCGGGCACATACGGGACAG